GTGAAATAATCAAGGAACACGGAGCCCCTCCCCAACGAAAAGGGTTCCTTCTTCAACGCCCCGACTGTAGATGGTCATGGAACTCTACTCCAGATTTCGTAATAAAGGGAGGGGGGTCTCATTTCGGGGGGGGTCTCTTCCAGGCTATCTTGGAGGGCCTGGGGGGGTCTGGGGACGATGTTTTGGAGGGTTCTCCCACGGGGGGGGGTCTAAAACTTCTCGTCTGGGAGGGTTGAGACCCCCTCCATTTTATTACGAAATCTGGAGTACTGAAACACCGCTGGGTGCCACCCAGAATGGCCCGGAGACTCCTGCAGGCTTCCGAGAGGATCCACTCCAAATGAGCGCTCCAGCAGGCTCCTGGGGCCCCAGATCTCGGGATCCAATCACCACTCCCACCCCCCTGGAGATGAAAGTGAAGGGGATTTGCCAGATGGCGTACAGGTTACAGACCACGACCACGACGACCCATGCTATCAGTGAGGGGGAGAGAACTGTCAGAACAGAGAGAGGAAGAGAGAGAGAGAGAAGGTAGTCGACAGCATCAATGAGCGCAGGCGCCGCGCGACCGCAGATGGACAGCGAGCTGGTCGAGACTCTGTGCGACGGACTGGGTCCCTTGCACCTGCCAGAACACGATTGCTGAAGCGAGAATATGTCAATGGACGACACCTGTATAACATTGGACAAGACATGATGGCATCATATTCTTGTGGTACGAAGTGCATAGCAAACGTGCAACATGTTGGGCGACCTGGGGTGGGACTCCGCGGCAACTCTCCAGCAGACTGGCAAGGACATCCCCTCATTTTGTGATACTACTCTGGTCCAAGCTTCTGCCACTCAGCTTGCGCCGGGGTCGATTATGTTTTGGTCCCTGCTGAAATGCTCCCGTGGCGTGGATGCAGTTTGGCTCGTAAAAACGGCAAGCTGGAGACTACGCATGGTTTGCTGAATACGAAAAATCATGACAAGTGCTACAGGGTTTGGAATAGTAGGTGATAGAGCTGCGGGTACTGAGGCTTCGCAGTTCTCGTCCTCCACCTCATCCTCACACTCCTCGCACGTCCTGAAAGACCAGAAGCCCAGCCGTCGTCATGTAGCTAGCCTCCGCTTCTTGCGAGCCTCCTTGCAGGATGAAGAAACAGGAAAGGAGGAAAGAGGAAGCATCCTTGTTTGGGAGGCCTAGCCTGAACACTAGTCCCGAATGACGCGTGGGGATCCACAAGCCTGATTTGACATGTGGGAACGGGGCGCTTGGGCGCATCTAACAGGATCTTGTGGTATGTCCGCCCCTCGGTGGGACTGAAACGGCCCTCTGGAATACGCAACGGTATGTCCATAAGCCCTTCTCCGAGGATCTTTTCAGTTGGAACGTACAAGGTGGGATGTCGCCCTCAGGCGGGCCCTGAATGTCTCCTCCCAAAGGCGGACGCTCCTGTCTCCTGGAGAAGCCTCCAACCACGTCGAGCTGCCCGCCCCCACATCGTCCAGGCACCTCCGCAGTGCTCGAATTGCCCGCCACTGCGTACAAGGCCTGGTAATTGGCGCCTGGTCGGGCGGCGGGCGGTGCAGGGGTTGGGGGGGGAGGATCAGGGGGGGAGGGGGAGATCAAGGGGAGGAAAGGTCGAAGCGGGAGGTGAGGAGAGGACATACGAAAGAACGAACCACCAAAACGGACAGCTGCCCTGGCCTGCTGAGACCAGGTGGGTGAGGCCATGGCCTCCTGTAAGTGCAAACATGCAGTGGAACAGCGAGACATACACAAAGGTTGAAACTGTGCAATACACAGAAAAGGTAGGAGGGGAAGAAGAGGGGATAAGGAGGCGGAGAGGGAGGAAGGGGGGGCAATAGCACAACCGAACAAAAAGGTGACACAGTAGGAGCTCGTCGAAAGAAAAAGCTATGAAATTGTGCATTACACAAAGTCAGGAGCAGAAGGAGAGGGGATGAGCAGGCGGAGAGGGAGGAAGGGGAGGGGGCAATATCATCATCCTCCTCCTCCTCCTCATCATCCTCCTCCTCCTCCTCCTCCTCCTCCTTCCCCTCCTCCCCCTCCTCACCCTCCTCCCCCTCCTTCTCCTCTTCCTCCTCCTCCTCCTCTCTCCTCCTCCTCCTCCTCCACCTCCGCCTCCTCCGCCTCTCCCCTCCCCCCCCCCCCCCCCCCTCCCCCTCCTCCTCCTCCTCATCATCCTCCTCCTCCTTCTCCTCCTCCTCTTACTCCTCGCCCTTCTCCTCCTCCTCCTCATCCTCCCGCTCCTGCTCCTGCTCCTGCTCCTGCTCCTGCTCCTTCTCTTCCTCCTCTTGCTCCTCTTATTACCATTACCATTATTGATATAAGTATGAGTATCATTAATAATAGTAGTAGTAGTAGTAGTAGTAGTAGTAGTAGTAGTAGTGGTATTATAAGTGTTAACATTAGTAGTATTAGTATATTGCTATTATTAGTATACGTATTATCATTATCATTACTATTGTTGCTAGTATTGTTATTAATATTACTCATGTTATTAATAGTAGTAGTATTGCTATTGTGTTTAGTAGTTACTAGTGTTAGTAGTGTTATTATTAGTGTTAGTATTCTTAGTATTGTTACTATTAATAGTGTTAATATTAGTAGTATTCATAATATGGTTATTCGTAGTATTATTCATATGATTAACATCATTACTAATAATAGTAAACTGGCTAGTATCAGTATTACTATCATTAGTACCATCAGTATCGTTATGTAGAATTAAATAATACTATACATGTTTAAAAAATATTGTTATTATGATGAGTACTCTTACTATAGATATATGAATATTCTGGTTGGTACTCTTATCTGTCGTAGTTTTGTTACGTTAATGAATAATAGTATTAGTAATGGTCATATTAGTATTATTACTATTTTAGTGTTAGTAGTATTGTTAGTATGAGCCTTATTATTCTTATTATTAGTAATATTCGCATTAATATTGCGATTCGTCTTAATAGTATCATGCGTCTTCTTATTATTACTATTATTACTAGTATTATTAGTAGTACTGTCGCCGTGTGTTCGTGTTCGTCTTATTCCTAATATTATTTACTATCATTATTATTATGCGTATTATTATTAGTAGTGTTAGCTGTATTGATGTTGTTACTATTGTATTGATAGTATTATTAATATTCGCGTTATTCTTGTATAGTGGTATTATCGGCTTACGTGTGCTTACTATCATTGTTGTTTTCATTAGTATGAATATTAATAGTCGGATTGTCGCTGGTCGTACTATTATTATTATTATTAGTTGTGGCAGTGTTATTCGTACGATTAACATCAGTATTAGTGTTCGCGTTATAATTATTAGTCTGATGATGCGTCTTATTCTTATCAGTATTAGTATAGGTTGGAATATAATCGTTATGTATATTGTTATGTCTCGTGTTATTATTAGTAATAGTATTAGTCGTATTCGCCGTACTATTCTTATTATTCGTATTAGTGTTATTACTCGTCTTATTATTATCAGTATTCTCCGTTGTCTTCTTATTAATATGATTATTCATATTGTTACTATTATTAGTCCTCCTCCTCCTCCTCCTGCTCCCCCTCCACCTCCTCCTCCTTTTCCTCCTCCTCCTCCTCCTCCTCCTCCTCCTCAGCATCATCATCACCATCGTCATCAACATCCTCATCAGCATCATCATTAGTATCATCAGCAGCATCAGCATTATCATCACCATCACCATCGTCACCATCATCACGATCAGCATCATCATCAGCATCATCATCACCATCAGCATCATCACCATCAGCATCATCAGCAGCATTATCATCATAGTGTTCATGTAGGCTCCTTCAGGTTGCGGAACGTTTGCCTCCAAAAAACGCGACGCCCAGGGTTAAAAGGAAAGAACGATTAAGACATGGTGAAGCGGAAGCACCTGCCCACCAAGCGGTTGGTGGACGGGTCCTTCCCTTCTTTGGAAAGCCTGAAAGTTTTCTCCCCGTCTCTGTCGCGAGGATTCCCTAAGCAGGGACCCCCGAGCAGGCGGAGCCTTGAAGACCCGAAGGCTGCACAACTGGAGCACCACACCAGGGAGGGGCCCATGAACCACAGTCTGCGGATCTTGCTGGCCAGGCGGCCCAGGCCCGGGAGACGTGCGCATGGCTTAGCACATACAGCTCGCTCAGAGAGCCCATGGGCCCCACAACGGGTGCAAACATACGCTCCCCCCGCCTTGCTAGCTCGCTGCACGATGTGGCACTGACGATCGGGCACTAGCTGCAGGCCATCGACCGTCGATTTGCGGGGCTTCTTAAGCCGCTGGACGTCTGGGGTCTGGGAAATTCCGACAAAAAATGTGCTTACCCAGGGCGCCAGTACACTTACAAACCGGCCACAGCGAGTCGCGGCAATCTTAGCGTTTTCTCCAAAGAACTGGGTTGGACCCGCGGGAACTGGCACCTCGAACGGCAAACTGACCCAGGCTCAACCAGGCCCAGAACGGCACATTGGAGGTCCTAGAGCAGGCTTGCCAGGTGAGATGGGCCTTCATTTTTCGGGCCCCGGTGCTTCCGAACCCGAAGCCCACGGCCCCAAAAAAAGGTCATCCCACTGCTCGGAAAAGGCGACGTGAGTAAGGTCCGCGTCGGTCCACGGTTCCAGACGTCGATGACAGCCTGACAGTCATTGTATCTGGTCATGGACCCAAGGGCAGCCGGACGGATGGCCATGAGCAGAGCAAGGCCTCCCCCCCTCCATTGATTTGGAGGTGCGGGAGGGGCCCGTACACGCGCCCGTCTGGGCCGCCAGCCTCTGGCGTACGAACTACAGCCCAACCCGCCCTGGCCGAAAACGGGTTGTCCTGGTCCAGGCCCGAACCGCCAACACAGAGACGAGGACCCGAACGGTCCGAGGCAGGGCGGCAATACCATTGGCGGGAACGGGCCATGGACAGGGTAGGCCAACGGGCCCCTGGATCGGGCACGAGGGTTCTGGTAGAAAGCAGATCAAACTCAGGCCTGCCTACACCGTCACGAACAACCTGGTCCAGGCCCAGGTCACGACGGAACAGGTGAAGCCTAGGCACGCGTAGAGCCTGTGCTTCGGGGCCCCCTCCGCCTGCCCGCTAGCCAAGCAATGAGGGGCGGTGACTCTTCTGGCCCTGAAGAGCTGTCCCTGACACGGATACCCACCAGCGATGACACCACTGAGAAAGGTAGCTGTCTCTGGGTTGCCACCTTTACGGAAGCACTGGAGCTCCCCTCTGATGACAGTGATCAGTGGCGGCTTGGGTGCACCGTCGGGGGAGGGGGCGGGCACGTGACGCAACAGCTGGCGATAGGTGCCCTGCACGATAAAAGCTTCGACGGGGTGGCGGCCGAAGATGGAGGAGGTCGAGAGAGATCTCGCCCCCGATGCCCCACTTGTTAAATTCCTTCCCTTCCGAACCGAGACGTTGAAGCGTTGCAAGAACCACGCCTGCAGAACGAAGAATCGACGACCACTTGACAGGCTCCCCTCTGGCTTGGTAGCGCTTCCAGCACTTGTGCAGCATGGAGCGAGGCAGCCAGCTCTGGAGAACGGCCTGGTGCCACATGCCAAGGGGAAGCAAGTTGGCCTGGCAGGTGGGGTCTAGCTCGTGGTCCTTATTGAGAAGGAACTGAATGGTCCTGCTGCGGCCCCGAGCGGCCAGAAAGCAGCAACGCCGATGACAACTCTGAGAAGCCAATTGGGTTTGAGCCATGCCCGTGACCCTGACGCCGTAGAAGACCGCGAGGGGCCCACAAATCTTGAGGATCCTGTGCATGCCCGAGAAGTTCGTAGAGCGCCTGCGAACCCCAGCGAAGTCCACCCTGAGGTTCTTCGTAGCCCCCAGGCCCTTGGGTCTTCGTAGCCCCCAGGCCCTTGAAGTCCCAAGCCCTGAGGCTCATGCGGATGATTTGGACGACCTGGGCCGACGAGCCCGTGACGATCCCCTTGGTGGCAGAAATGGCGAACCCCAGGAGCTCCAACTGGACACAGTTGAACCGCGTGGCTTCCAGGACCAAACTGATGACGTGTTTCCTCTTGCCCACAGCCCAACAGTGATGCCGTCGACAACACTGTAAAAGGAGATGCTGGGGTACAAGCGCGACGCATCATCCAACACGTCGAGCAGGAAACAGAACAGCAGGGAGGTGGCCAAAGAGCAGCCCGCGAGGAATCCCTTCCGTCAACGTACATATCTGCAGGCACGTTTATGTCAAACTGCAGCGAACGCCTGCCTCGAAACAAACAGAGCAGGAGTCTGGCCAGTGTGCTCGAGGCCCGTGCTTCACACCTGACCTGGCCAGCGATTGCGCAGATTGGTGGCTACGGATGTGAGCGTGCTCGACACGGACCGATTGCTGCCATACAGCACCCTCGCACGATCTCCCCTTGCTAACCACAGTGTGCGACCGAGGATGTTCCAGTTCCCACCTCTTGGCCTTCTTTGGCGGCGCGCACAAGGGGGTGGGGGGAGGGAGGAGGGCTTCTTAGAAGCAGGCTGCTTCTTAGAAGGCGCCGGCCTTACATCTGTAGATAAGGCCCGCGCCTTTTAAGAAGCAGGGGTGCTTCTAAGAAGCCTTCCCCTCTCCCCCTACCCCCCTCTGCGCGTTGCCGATTCTCTCTCGATAGACGACCGAAAACGCGGATGCTCCCTGGAAGAACCCCGACGGGGCGCCCACCTCCGCCACTCGTGCTGCATCGGCGGCTCTCGGGTTCCGTGACCGCTTCAGCCAGCCGGCCGCTCCCAGCGTAACTGCTGCAGCAAGATAATCCAGTAGAACCTCAAAGGCCTCCAAGAAGCCAGCAGGAAGCCCCAAAGAGGCCCCAAAACTTGGCCCAAGATGCCTCGAGGCGGCCGGATATGGCCTGGGCCAAGATGCCACCAAGAGGCCACAAAAGAGCACCAAGAGGTACGATAACAGCAACGAAGCAACAGGAACGATGTCGAGCGCCGTGTCATGATTCGGACAAGCCTCGTGAAATGCAGTCCTGGAGGCGCAATACCTTACATAGGGGTCGGCGGATGTGGCGTAAGCCTATAGAATCCAGTAGAAACCCGGGCACGACCTCCTTGGCCTGTCACAACCACAATACGACTTCACCTGAGATGCTGGCTTTGAGCGCCGCCCAGCCAATTGTCTGGCGACTCCTGCAACCTGGCTTCGGACGAAGTCCATCCGCACTGACCTTACCATCTACATCAGTTCCCGCGTTGAGTGCTGAGGTCCTGGGGCTAAAACCTCGTGGAGCCCAGGTCAAGCCCTTCGGGGGAACCGACGTGGAGGTCCGCTCGACCTGGACCCCTGCCGCCGGGGGGAATCCCCGGAGGGGGTCCTGTGAGGGGGTTCTGAGGGTTGTGACCCCTGCCATCCTGGGGGAAAGGGGAGGTCCCCGCAGAGGTTGAGGGGGGGTCCGGGGGGGGAAGGGGGGGGGAGGGTCCCAGGGTGGTGACCCCCCCCCAGGGGGTCCCCGCAGAGGTGGATGGGGGTCCCCGCAGAGGTGAAGGGGGGGTCCCAGGAGGGGGGGGGGGGAAGGAGGGGGGGTCCCCAGGGTGGTGACCCCCAACCCAGGGGGCACCCCTCCCTGGAAGAAGTGTTCGGCTCCAGAGGGACAGCGTCGTCGTCGTCGTTCCCCTTCAGGGTCGACGGCACTGGTCGTAGGGCCTTCGCCTTCGCAGTACTGGTCCTGCACCTGGCCGCCAGCAGGGGTCTCCCAAGACGCACAACAATAGGCTGCCAGACTTGGCGACCGAACATGGAATATTGCGGGAGAGCGACTGCAATTTTCTGAGGTTGACGTCATCGAAACCCACGACCTCGCACCTGCAGGCACGCGCCGGCACCTGCGTTATGGATGTCCCTGGTGCCTCGAGTTCGGCGTCCTTGATGGCGACCAGCCGCTTTTGTTTGAGCCTTGCGTGTCTGACGTTTCGCTCGCATCTCTGGGGTTGGGCGTCTGAAAAAAAGAGGGCGCCAGGATGGCCCGAAGTCGAATCGGAAAATCAGAATCGACAATCGAAGTGCATCGAACCGGCAGAAATCGCAAGGCGGACGGGAAGGAGGGGGAGGAGGAGGAGGTGGAGGAGGAGGAGGAAATCGACGCCCGGCAGCCCGAACCGAGGCCTGCACGAGGCAACCCAAACCGAAGTCGCCACTCGCAGCCGAACCGAATCGAAATCGACATCCTCGAAATCGAATCGATTCGAACCGACAGCTTCGACATGGCTCCTGGGGAGGGCGCGTTCTGAGGCCTCCCAAGTGGGGAAGCCAAAAGGTGCCGATACCGATACTCCCCAGACCTCTCCCACGCTGCGTTCTGACCAGGATCTCGAGAAGCGGATCCAGCGGTGGCGACGAGGGCCTCCCAGGAGGCCCCCAAGGAAACGAAAACGAGGGAAACGTAGCAGGTATGGGTACCCCCTCCCCCGACGACTCGTTAGGTCGGGCATGTCCGACTACAGGCGGACCTGAGAGGAAAAATAAAGACTAGTCAGAAAATAATCGAGAATAGTCCCAACAGATTAAAACAAAAAAAAAAAAAAAAAAAAAAAAAAATGTTGTACCATTATTGAATGTTCCTTCTCTAGAGGAACTGTTTTTCATCTGACGGTTCCCTGCTTGGGTCCCCCATGCACGAACTATGACAGCCAACAGAAAAAAAAACAACAGGTTTCAGCGACTACGCAAGTACAGCGACAAGACTTACAGGACATCGTAAACTTTAGGCGTGCACAGCACGAGACCGCAATGCGCTACGGTAAATCAAGCAATGAAGCCCGATTTCAGCCTCAGGATGCAGGGAGGGCGGGGGCCGCGGCCCCGCGGAGGCCGCCGCAGGGGGCAGGCGGGGCAGCGAGCGGCCCCAGACCCGCGCGGCCTCCGGCGGCCCGCGAGTCGTGCAGCGCCACGTCGACCTGCAGGAGGACGAGGGCGTCCGCCTCCAGCCCCGCGCGGCCGAGCGGAGAAGGGTGCAGGGGGGTGGGGGAGGAGGAGGAGGAGGAGGAGGAGGA